ACCAAGTCAGAGTGTTTATCTCTTACTGCATCATACAGATTTCAGCACATGAAAACTCCAAATAATTTGATTTATACTCTCTGAGGAAGCTTTATCCAGACTTTAGTCACAGAAAAAATTGAAATTAAGGATATGAACCATTGTGGCAAAAGCTGCCAACTGCGTCAATTGACATAATTAGCTAAATAGTAGTTGGACAGGAGTTTTGCAAGACCTGGAAAGGTTTATGGATGTCCATTTTTAAAGCCATAACAAATGGCTTTAAACAACCTTTCCATAATTAAAATTATAATATCTAAAATACAGGTTGCACAGCTCTGTATTTCTGAAAAAAAGGAAAACAAGTTTAACAATGGTCTCTTTTGAAACTACAGTCAGTCATTTGTGCTAATAGACAGTTTTGTTCCAATGTTATAAAGTAAACATGTGAAATTAGGCTTCTCACCATTCTTACCATCTCTGGTGAACACTTTTCTTGCCCCACCTGCTCCAAATCATTGAAGAATCTTTTGGCACTCTATAAATCAGGCTTTTATGGGTGAGTGGCAACAGGAGAGGAGTTGTTGAAAGATACCCACAAGAATTTTAATTTACAGTTTGGCAAAAACTAAAAAAGGGAAGGTGCTCCAGCACAAAAGAAATTCTAACTTCTCTCATTTACTTGCCAAATGCTCCAAATGACAGAAAAGTAACTACACATCTGAGCTTAAGAACTTTGCAAAGAAGGATAGACAAATATTTTAGTTTTCTAGATGTGCAAATTTATTAAAAATGGAACCCAAAAGACTTGCAGCCGTATCCAGAGATGGTTCCATGCAACACTGACGTAAGGGAACATCAAATCATTGCACATCACATTTTTTTTTTATATTTACAAATAAAATGAAACACAAAATCTTAATAAATGACACTAAAGTTATCAGTTTTAACATGACAACATTTGAAAAATCTGGAGATGTGAATACATCTAAGAGACAATTGATACATAGGGTCTTAAAGCCTACATTCATTAACCAGGTTGTGTCCCTAGCAGAGCGCATAATGCGATGGAAATACTCCTACATAGGCATTACCGTCTTTCCTCTTCACCACCTGGTTGCATGTGTTTATTTTCAAGAAGAAGCATCATGCGAAGGTAGTTCCTGCAACTCATCATCTTTGTAATCCATAAATACCAGGTTACTGCATCCCCACGTCACCAGATCACTGTGCAGCAACAGTCAAGGCTACATTCACGTCACTTTTGTTTAGAAATTGTTCTCAGAAGATGTTGAGGTTACCAAAAAACAAGTTGGAACCTGATCATTGACGTGTCAGCTAATTTATGGAAGAAGATAAGGGAAATACATCAGAATTTCCTTGCAAAAGGAGAACCTGATGCCGCTCCAAGCAAACCACATTAGTAATGATCTCTTTATGAATTAATTAACTTCGTAATTTCACCATTTTGATTCTGCTAAATATTTCCAAAACCTTGCCTGTGGCAATAAATTTGTGTAAGAATTGTTGTTTTTTTTAACTGTGTTTAATGTGCACACTCATAACAGGGTTAGGTCTTTTGTTAATATGCAGTTCTCAATAAAGCATAGCCAGAAAGGTATGTGGCATGCAGCTGTATGACAGTCCCTGTTAAGTCACCCCCGTCTCCAGTATTTTTACGAACTCCGAAGGGGGAAAAAAAAAACCAACTTAAACTTAACAACCTCATTCTGGGGTCTGGAATTTTGCACTTTTGCCTCAGATATGTCCGCCTTTTTTCCACTGACTTAATGTGTCTTTCATTGCTGTCCATCTGTCTAACACGTTCTCAGTTTTGGCTCCTGCTGTTTTCCGTCTGTCTTTGCCATTCATTCCACTTCAGTGTAGCCTGGCTTTCTGATATATGAGCCTCAAGACACATTTGCAATTCTGACTAGAGTGCCAAAGCACAAATGCATAACAGCCCCCTCTTTTGTAGACTTTTAGTCGATGATGTAATTTTAAGAAATACTTGCATCAGGAGAATTTATTCTAAAATATATATATATTCTATTCCTTTAAAGATATATTTAATTTTTAAACAGAGATAGTAAAGTTTTTTTTTTTTTTTCTTTTTTTTTTTCTTTGTCACAAATCTTAATTTCTAGTCTGTTGGCTCAGTACTGCCATCTAGTGATTATCAAGGCAAGTTCAACACAAATATATTGCATACACCTTGTGTGAGGTGTTATCCTCAGTTTGCATGCATTTTTAAAGCTGCTTTTTTTTTTCTAAAGATGAATCTTTTTTTTTTTAAATTTATTCTAAAACTAAAGTAAGCAGTGGTCCATAGTCTGCATCCACATAATATCAAACCGCTACATATAAAATAAAAAAGATGGACATTCAGCACTTATCATTTATTTTATTTTTTTCTTTCTATGGAGACACCATACTTAGATTCTTAATTTCAAAAGACCTTTTTTTTTGACAATATACTTTTATTCTTGTGTTTTTAAAACAAATATATAACAATTGATGCTAAATTAGACATATCTACTCCTCTCCTTGAGTCAATAATCATAGCTTGGAACAATCTCTAGCTTTGAATGTTTATAACTCCAATGAGTCAACGACTGCTGGCTGCAAAACCTCGGTGCTGGTAGATAATGACCAGTGGAGGTTTCTAGTCTATTCCAACCTACTTCCTTATCAATAGCACATTAACATTAACCTTAAGTATTTTTTTAAGCCAAAAAGCCTCAATGTAGGTACCTTAACAACAAAAAGTGAACAGCAAAACTTTTTCTTTTAAGTTTATCACAAAGCTAGATTAAGCCTTGAAAACCACAAACCATTACATTTTAGAAATGTTATTAGGCTTTGATAATCCATATCAAATTGTTAGGGTTCAATATATGGTAGTTGGGAATCATTCAAGGTTTATTTTGTTCTGTTAGATAAGTAAAGTAAAACTTTATTTATAAAGCATGTTTTTACAGACAGACTTTGCAAAGAGTGCTTCACATAAAGTTAGTCCAATACACAGAAGAGTGTAATACAAGAAACAACACATTTTAATCATAATTGTCTATCGTATATTTGAATAAAATTAGTAATATAGGGCAGAGTCTGTGGATGAAAAGCTTTGTTTAAACCTAAAGAAACCAAGTTTTGATTGGCAGCCAGTACCATGATTTCAAAGCAAGGGTTATTTTAGTTCTTTGCATTTTTAAGAAACCTGAAGGTGATCTAGCCCATATCTATTGAAGTAAGAAAACAGACCATTACAATAGTTAAATTATGTTCAGACAAAGGCTTCAAAATATATTTACATGTTGTTAATTGTTGACATCAGTGACTCATGTTTTGAAAAACTCCTCAAAAAACAAAAATCTGCTTCCCTAATATCAGATTTAATAAATTTTCCAGTGTTAATTTTTTTTTTACAAAAAACAGATTAAAATTTCTGAGAGTATGCTGCAAAAAAAGGCCGAAACAACCGAGCTGCTGTTTATTGACACGTCACTATCCGGTGCAATAATCAAAGTTTCAGTTTTTAGTTAACTATTATACAACTACCTCTTCATATTAACATAGCAGTTAATAAAAGAGGCCAACTTGTGAACAGAAAAGCTGAACATCATCAGCAAAAAGATGAGCAGCAGTAAAAAAAAAAAATCTCTGAAACAGCAGTAAACGGCTGAATTATCTGGCCTGAAGTAATGGTTAAAAACAAAAGTGTCCTAAAATAGAGCCCTGATGGACTCTAAAGAACATCTCCTTAGATTCTCGTTTACTGTGTTTTGTAGACGCATCTTAATAGTATGGTTAACAGTGTCAAAAGCTTTGGAGAGTTCTCAAATCATCATTGGTAACTACTATATAAGTGGAATGCATTTAACAAAAAACAGAATGGAAGCATTCAGTAATGGGATTATTGAAGTATTTTTGAACTGAATTGAACTTTCTTTTTATTTAAATTGTTTGTATAGTGTAAACAAATTGGCCTAAAATTTTTATTTTTGGATCTAAAATTGTTACCCATGTTAAAAGGTTTGGTGAAACTCTCATTGGAAAATAAACATTTAAAACCTTTGCAACCCAGATACAAATAACATAAAAAATATTACCTTTAGCCCATCAAAATATTTGACATTGACAACAAAGAAGAGCTCTTAAAAAGGGATGCTCCAAAACCATAAAAATTATGGAAAAAATTTACAATAGGGAAATATTATATTTCACCTAAAAAACATAAATAAAGCAGGATAGGTGGAGCACATTTGGAAAAAAGAAAAATACTAAAGATAAAGACAGTCTACCCTCTTTTGTGTTTAAATAAATTTAAGGAGTTAATAAAAAATAAATAAAAATCAAACAAAGACAGTATGGACCCAGATTTGGTTTGTTAGTTTAAAAAGTAAATTAAGAATGTTACTTTTTTTTTTTTCAAAAATGTAATAAACATCTGTTCTGTTATTCCTGTGAACTCAAAGGAGGGAAACTCTCCCAGCGGTGTGCGTGTACAATTGCCACTTACTACCATAAATTTTTTCTACTACTAATGAAAAAAATAAGAATGGTTCCTCAAAATTTTAGGGATATAAAAACATGGTAATAACTTCTAAATGAAACTTGTTTTTTTAAAATAATCAATATTTTGCACATAAAAGATTTAAAATCTAAGTAGGTCATTTTTTTCTAAAAATAAGTGCATTATTCTCTTAAACTGAGCAGGTAAGTGAGAAACTTTGGCAATAGAATAAGACAATTTACATTTAAAATAAGAAAAAACAACAACAAGTGCAGTCTCTTATTTCAAGATCATAAATTCAATCTTATTCCAAGGGTAAAAATACTAATTCCATTGGCAGATCATTTTATTTCCCTACTCAAATTAAGGGTAAATATATATAAACTTATTTTAAGTTGCTGAAAGTACTAAGTCATCCAGGTCATCGTAATTCCAAATAAAGTTAATTAGAAATTTTTCAATTTTAATAAAAAAAAAATAAAAAAAATCTATTCTAAACGTCAGGGAATTTCAAACCTCGAACTCAATGCTATTTCTGAAATTTTGAATTGAATTGTGGAAAGGGAAAGTTCTTCAAACTTGGAAACAAAGTCCAGTGGATTGTTTTTTATTTTATTTTTAAACTACACAAACTCTATCTCCTTTGTGGACAACAATGAACCATGTTTTCTTATCCCACTCGTATGCCACTCCTTGGCTCTGGAGAAAGATTGTCAAAACTTAACAACCTTTAATTAGCCCTGTGTCAATCAATTGGTGATTATAAAGAATTACAGCATTTACAGCCTGATAACACAGAACTCGATCACCAGATCCAAATTCTAAATACAGGGCCAGTCATCCTGTAATTAACTCACTAGAGCAGGGGTCATCACCAAGGGGCTCTCAAGGAGCACTTGGGGGGTGCGTTTTTTTGAAAACAGAACAACTCACCAGTGGGCTGAGTTTGAAATGTATTTTATTCTGTACCTCTTTCAGTTAATAATTTATGCAGGATTTCATCATAGAGCATTTAAGCATTTATAGAGATTTCAAAATGACAACATCTAAAAGAAAATTAGAAATAAGAAGAAACAATAAAAATATGTATGGAGTTTAGGTGAACGCTGACCTTGCCAGTTCATAGCTCCTACTATGACTCAGTACCCATGAAGTTGGGTTGGGTTGGGTTGGTGACCCCTGCTCTAGAACCTTCACCTCATTGTTAATTACTGAGGTAGTGGAGGCTTCTTGGTCTGATCCTCGTCTTCCACTTGAGTGTCAGGGTTGTTATCCGCGTCCGTGCTGGCAGACTCTTCTTGAGTCTTCTTACCAAAGCAGCCCTTCTTCATGAAGGCATTAAACCGTTCAAGGTTTTCTATGCCGTGGTTGATCAGCAGAGCCAGCCAGGCCAGGCCAAAAAAGATCCATGAGGCCATGAGGACACTGTACCAGTCAGGGTAGTTTATATCTGGATTACTATCTGGAAGGCATGGCAAAGAATTATATGACAGATATGTGACATCGAAGTTTAAAATAATCAGTGGATGTTTGGGACTCTGGGTTCTGCGGTACCTGCTACAAAATCCCCAAAACCGATGGTGCTTAGGGTGATGAAGCAGTAGTACATTGCCTGAGAGTAAGTCCAGTTCTCACGCTCTTTGAACACAGCCATTGGCATGATGAAGAAGAGAACAACCCCACAGATGTAGAAAAACAGGTGAACAAAATAATGGGTATACCCCTGAAGTTGGACAATATAGAGAAAACAGTGATGTCAGTCACACTATAAAGAAGGAAAAAGATGACTTGCAAAATCCTCATGACTTGCTTACCTTTCCTCCGGTTTTGCTTTCTATGAAATCAGATATATTCCTTCCTATAGCAAGCATGTACTTTCCCACTCTGTTCAGCACCACCACGTTAAGAGGAATCCCAAAGAGCGCAAAGAAGACACAAAAGATCTGCCCAGCTGTTGAGCTGGGACTCATGTTTCCATACCCTGTAAAACATAAACATCAAAACATTTTCCCTTTGGCTGAAGGAAGATGAACTGTTTAAACTTTGCCATTATATCAGTAAATTATAATTAATAGAAGTTTACCTCACGGTCCTACAACCTGTAAAACATTTCATGTAATTATAAAGCAAGTCCACAGACATGATTTTGGCACTGATGACTGGCATAATTGCTCATCCCATTCACCTGTCTAATTCTGCTCGGTTTCTAATCACTGCTCATCTCATCAACCTGCTCCTGCCTCTATTTAAGTTGCTTGCATCCAGTTATCAGGGCTGAGATTATTATTCGTGTATCTAGCCAGTGGTTAGAGTGTTTTTAAAGCTCCTTAGAGTTTCTGATTTCCTGATCCTGAACTGTTCTGCCTCTCCACCACTGAGCCTGCCTGTTCTTGTCTGATCTCAGTGGTGAGAGAGTTTTTTAGCATTACCTTAGTTTTTTCAAATGACCTTTATCCTGGTCTGCCTCTCAACCTCTGAGCCTGCCTGTTCCTTTTCTGATCTGTTTGTCTGACCTGGCTTCGGACTCCTGCATGTTCTTTGGGGCTGCAGCATCTGGGACACTCTGGGTGGCCCCTGCCACATCTAGATGGCATTCCACTGGCTGGATCCTACCCCATTCTCTGGCTATGAAGTGAACTGTTATACCAGGTTAGTGTCTCACAGGTTCATAATAATCATTCGTATTATAGTGGTCACTGACCTGTGTTCTCTCCTGCAGAGGTTACTGCTCTAGACGCCCTATCCGTTGCAGATACACAGATCTGGGAGATAAACTCCCATTTAATGCTTTGCTGAACTATTCATGTGTCTTAAAATGTTTGTATTTTAAACTACAAAGCATAATGAGTTTCACCTACCAAAACAAAGCCTCTCAGTTTAAGTGAATGGACGGGCATTTCTTGGTGTTTAGGAGTTGCACAATACTCTTTGTGTATGTACAACCACCATCTTTATGTGCGGTTCTATTCTATCAGCTAAACCCAGCTTCTCCACTGTTAGGAATCCAGTTTGTGTGGGTTGTGTTTTTCTCTCCCTGCAACACCAGGTGGGGCCCTGCCCTCGTTGGTCCTCCTGCACACCTGCGGCTGGTTAGCTCATCACTGAAGACTATTTGAGCAGTGGATTGTCACTACCTCGACGCCAGAGTGTTTGCCAGTTCTGGGTACTTTAGCCAAACTGAGATTAGCTGAGTCTAACTTTGTATCACTGAGCCTAACATTGTTTTTTGCCTTTGCCTTTCGACAAGAAGCTATCTTGCAAGCTGGATGTTTGGCCTTCTTCCCCTGGAAGGATTGTTTGAATGTCACTCTGAGCAGGGTATTAACCTCCACATGTTCCGTTCATGTTCTCCCAGAATACCAAGTGACAGTCCGCTCCATTGCTCCTTAGGATCCAACCAGGTAAAAACCTGTCCGCCCTCCAACAAGCTCCTTACCTCTGGATAAACCCACACCGACTGGATTCTGGGAAGAAAGTTTTCTCCACTAATGTGAGTCCCTTTTTTCTTTATCCAAGTCATCGTCCAAAGTTCCCACGGACCCTTAACTAACCTCTGATACTTCCCTTCTCACTTCCAGTTCTGGTTCACCAGTACACTTGAGTTTCCTGAATCCATCCCCCGTTGATCTTTTCAATAAACCTGTTAAACTTTCCCCCTGTCTCTCTGAGTGGTTCACTGCGTTTTGAGTCAGATCCCTTAAGATCATCATAACATCGACGCCGTTATTCCTCATTCTTTAGTTGAATTTATACTGAGATTATCTGACATGCACAGGGAGTCTAATCAAGTGACCTATAAAGACATTTGGTTGCACTCATTGAGAAACCAGATGAACGGGCAGCTGAAGACAGTTTGTCACACGTGTAACGTTTTCTTTCCTCTTTACAGTTACACTGTGCCTCCTTCAGTTGATATATCTGAGAAAAATGTAATGATATCACTTCAAGGTATGAAGATGTAAGATAATAAACTGTAAAAAAGTGTATTAATATTTTTCAAAAATATTGGAAATATTTTCCCGTTGTCGAATGAGGAAATTTAAATAGATCAGTAATGACCTTACAATCCTTCCAAGCAAGATTAGTAGCAACCTTACATCCCGTTTATTTCTGCTGTTTTCCCATCTTGGCATTATGTTGACAAACGTTAAGTAATATTAGATCAATTAAAATACCTGTGAATGTAGCTGCTCTAGTCTTTGGATTAATTATTACTCTGGCTGTTCTCATAAAGTTAATCATCTTGACAGAGTGTTCCAAACATCAGCATCTATAAACATCTCTTATCTTAATGGTTTTCTTGTGAGATTAGATTTCACTATCAAAACAGGGTTTAAAGTTAGCTGTGCTAGTTATCTTTTTGCCAGGTCATAAGAAGTGTTGAAAAGTATGTGACTCTGACCGATAGTTGTGACCACAGTGGCAGCGAACACAGCCGAGCTGGTGAACTTCCAGAAGCCGTCTGAGGTGCTGTTGGTTTTTAAACTCAGACCAGCTTTTGATGCATCTTGAACAAACTGAAAGAGAGAAAAGGGAAACCTGGAGTTTTCTATATTTTTTATATTTGAAGTATTTCCTACTTGAACTGCAGCCAGACTTTATGAATCACGCGTAACTTCTGAACATAACAATCTGCTTACTTTTTAGAGCACCTATAGTGCTCAATAAACCACAGCCATCAGCATTCCACAGAAAAATATCTTTTCAGCTCTGAATTCAGAGTTCAGCACCAAGGGGAGACATTACATCTGTTCTACTGTACATATCAGGCTAAAGCTTTATTTGAACCAATGCAAAGTTTCCTTTTCTCATATTGTACAAGCTACCACAGGGAATTGACATCAATCTTAGACCTCAGGCTGGGGGACATGGCTTAAAAATCTTATCTCTGATTTCTTTCCTAGTAAAATCCACTTTGTTTTCGTTACTTTTTTATTTTTTGCTCACTTAAGTTTGAGAATAAAAATGACAAATGATCACGCTGAATTATGGAAGGACAAGGAGAGGGTTCTATCTATCTGGTGAACACTTCTGTCTGTCTGTCTGTCTGTCTGTCTGTCTGTCTGTCTGTCTCTTTCTCTCTCTCTC